CATCCGCGATAACGTCGCCGACCGGTTTACTCATAAGTCACGAGCGCGATTAATAAATTGTAACCAATTATATTCAACAATTGTATTCAATTATACGAATAATCTAATATATCAGGTGTAACCAGTTATTAAAACTGTTATAATAGATAAAAGAGGTTATTTTAAATAAAAGTGTGGTGAAGTGAGTGTTTATTTGACGACCTTATTCAATTTCCTCGTTTTCCTCGTGGGTTCCAACCCTTTGAGCGGATCGAATCCCAAAATAATATCTTGTTGCACCGAGAGGTACAACACCGGGCTCTAATCATAATAGTACAATATTACCGAATTCGACGAGTGCAGTGTACCAAACAGGGTCGATTGATCGAACACGCTGCACTGGGAAAATTTATACTCGTGTACACTAGTGCAGGCGACCGAATTCGCTATTAGTTAAATTAAGCGTTTATGAAACTTATGTGTATAAAGTTGGATACCATCTGTTTTTATCAATTTATGCTTAACATTTCTACTATTGACTAAGGTACATTTTTCATATCTATGTATATTGTTAGTTCTTATTCTCTAAGTAATAATTTTTTTTGGTTTATCAGAATTTTAAATTTTAACGGAATTTGTACATACAGTGATGGATATTTCTCTTTTCTACTTCTACTTATTGTAATTGACGCAACATGCACATATGTACCATATTATAATGATTTGTATTTTATTATTTATAACATTGAGAATGACTTGATCGGTGTCGAAACGTATGTCACTTTATATTATTATTTAATTAAAATGGATATTATATTACTGACTCTTTGTCCTTATTTTATATTTATATTGTTTCTTTAGCTTATTTTGAATAAATTTCTTACTTACATCTTGAGCTTTTGTATTCTCCATCTTAATCGTTTTAAGTTTGTTCTCTATTATTTTGAGTTCATCCAATTCTTTTTGGATTTTACGGTTTATTTGATATTTAGCCACCGCTTGTGCCAATGAACCTAGCTCTCCTTTCATTGCAGCATTTATCATCACCTATTTATAAAAAAAATTTTTTTTCAAATTTGTAACGATATATTTAGAATACAAATTAAACAAATTCTTACATTTCGGCGCCTTTGAATATCGTTGGATGTACCTATCGGATCTGTTTCAGTCTGAGGTCCTAATTCAACGACGATTTGAAAATCAGCATGTTCACCTAATCGAAAACCGACGCCAAGTCTGGAATCGGTTCCTGTAGATTTCATAAACATTGATATAAGTTAATAAATATTATATTACGAGATAAAGTAATATTCTATTATATACTTAACTTTTTTGATTGGTGATATATTTGAATATATTAAACTTAGAATCGTCGGAAGCTCTTCTGGTATAATCAGGGCTGTTACATCTGTGAATTTTATTTTCTTAAATCAATTTTTAATGACCAGATATAAATAAAAAATCTATGAAGCCCGTCATGTCTTTTATTAATATATTTGTTTTGATAAATGCTCTTTTGTCTCTTACAAGAGAATACTCTTAAAATATCGTATTTTCGAGCAGAAAAGAGGACAGAAGAATGGTGCTCTCTTTGAGTGAATAATCGAAGCAGTCAGTCATAGACAGAATATAGACGTTTATATTTTTTCATTACGCGTGCACGTAATGTGCCCTATACCTCAACGCTTTTGCGTGCTGGAAATAGCCAATACCTCAAGCCGTTGAGTTATTTCTCTAACCCCACTCTTCTGCGCAAAAACGTTTCGGTATAGGCACATTACGACGAGCACTTGTAATGAAAAATTCTATGTGTAGCGAGTGGGGGCATATTTGTTTATAGCTCGGCACGGGCGCTCGTACGCTCGTGCCCGGCCGCGCTATAAACGACTATCCCCACTGTTACACAATGTATTGACTAAAACGTTAATTAGAGAGAGGTAATACAGATAAAAAAGCAACAGGTGGTATAGAAAGTAGAAATACAAACAAGGGAAAATCGCTGAGAAAGACTAGGAGAGATTGGAGCATCATTTCATTATTTTAACAAGTACAAACCAACAGCCACTCGATTTTAAACAGATAAAATACAGAAAAAATATTATGCTTTTAAAGATTTCACAGGTACTTCTGTTTATAAAAGCTATGTATTTCGCAGATTATCTCCATATCTATATTAATTCTTATAATCCCAATATCTGGAGACACGGTAGTGTCTCGGCGGTAAGCCAAGCGCGCGACACTGCCGTGCCTCCTTTACGCGAAACTGAGAATTTTCCGGGGTCGAGATGATCAGATCTCAGTAACGGCTGAACCGATCAAGTTCTACATACGCTCAATCGATAGCAAATACTTAAATTGTATGATAAAAGTGCTTACATTTTTTTTCTACGTGCCCTACGAGCGGAGATATCGCGACGCAAAGTCCGGATTTGTGAATTTTCACGTTTTATTTTTAAGATACGTCGTCATTATTAACATCGTCGACCAGAAAAAATGTCTATCTCGTTTTTTCGATAATAGAGGGCCTTTGACTTTATGTGTTATCTCACTCTACCTATCATATCACTCTATCTATCTATATCTAACCAGCAGACCAGTGTTGCATGGTGTATCACATATTACGCGCGCACGGTTTTAATCTTATAATTAAAAATAAAATATTATTCAATATAATATAAAATCAAACACGTATAATAGTCCAGGAGCCAGCGCGGTTTTAAGGTGACTGATTTCCTCAGCCTTGGAATTTTTTTTACGTGTTATTATGGTCATGTCTGCCAAATGTAGACAGACGGGAAAGTCTATTAGCGGGACATAGAGCGTACAGAATTTTTGTAATCTGTAGGAATTTCCGAAGACATTGACTGATTTCCATCAAGCTGATTTTGGTTTCCCTGATTATTCAAAACATATCAACAAGAAAAAAAGGCTTGTCCGACATAAAAGTTGGAACAGGGCCCTTGTCTGCCGTTTGGAATGTGTAATTTTTTTCTTGGACTGTTGACTGACATCCATAGAGCTGAATTTTGTTTTACAATTCAATATTAATGTACGAATGAAGAATATAACTTTGTCCGACGATTTAAGTGGGACAGAACCGTTCTCTGACGTCTTGGTTTTGTTAATTAATTATTAATATTTGACTGAAACGATTCTATCGGACAGGGTGGTTAAATTGTTCGAAATTTTATATACTTCCGATTTCCAAACATGTCTGACGAAAATATCGGGACATATCAGGTCTCTGCCAAAAATAATCTTATAACTACACAGGTTCATGAAAAAACAAAAGTATATTGTTCTGGGAATGAGATATATGTATTCCTATATATTCTTACCCGCTGAACACGAAAAGTACTATATTGTTAAAAAAAAAATATAAAATTTGATTTTTAACGCGATCAGATCTGATACGACTGGTGTATATAATGGACTCTTGTTTTAAATATATTGTTAAAACGATGTATGGTAAATTCTTAATGTATCCATAAGGCGGTAGTGAGCTGAGAACATTATTTTAACACTAATATAACTTCAGCGTCTATACATGAAAACAGAAAATTATAAAAGACGTAGAATACTTTTTTTATTTAAATTACATTTAAATAACGATATTTAAAATTTATATTAATTGATATTTTGTTTAAAGATCTTCATCTTCGGTGTCAATCGAACAATCCGTTTCTCCGTCAGCTTCGGAATCTATAATAAGTACATCACATTTTTATGGGTATACATTTCGAATGTTTTGACATTTAATTCTTAGAGGGCCGGGATGATGCCATAAAGTCGTCTTGTCCCATTTAAAACATCAGACACATGTATCAATGTATTTCTGTTTATATTTTAAACGCCCACCATAAAAAGTAGCTATGAGGAAATCAGTCAAATATTAATAATTAATTAACAAAACCAAGACGTCAGAGAGCGGTTCTGTCCCACTTAAATTGTCGGACAAGGTTATATTCTTCATTCGTACATTAATATTGAATTGTAAAACAAAATTCAGCTCTATGGATGTCAGTCAACAGTCCAAGAAAAAAATTACACATTCCAAACGGCAGACAAGGGCCCTGTCCCAACTTTTATGTCGGACAAGCCTTTTTTTCTTGTTGATATGTTTTGAATAATCAGGGAAACCAAAATCAGCTTGATGGAAATCAGTCAATGTCTTCGGAAATTCCTACAGATTACAAAAATTCTGTACGCTCTATGTCCCGCTAATAGACTTTCCCGTCTGTCTACATTTGGCAGACATGACCATAATAACACGTAAAAAAAATTCCAAGGCTGAGGAAATCAGTCACCTTAAAACCGCGCTGGCTCCTGGACTATAAATATGATATGTAATCGGCCAAATGACGTTCAAGAGCAGGATTTTGGTTGCTAATGTAATGTGTGAATTTTATTTACCACGTATGTAGTCCCCTTAATCGCGTGCCGAAAATTCTTTAGACTTACAACGCAACTCTAAACAACTACCGTAGTAATATCACTTAAGTTAAATTGACAAGCAATCTAACAATATTTTGATGCTTATAGCATCTTGTTGGTTCTTAATATGTTTAAAGACATATTAAAATTTTTTGACGATGTAAATGTTAAAGTAATGATAACTTGAAATCTGCGAAAAATAAGATTGCAAAGAATATCACAAGTTGGCGTTTCGTCCCGGCTTCCCACTACTAGACTCATCAGTAAGGTAATGTAGTGGGAGCCTACCTTAGACGCCTCGGGGAGATATTAAGAACCAACAAAATGCTATAAGCATCAAAATATTGTTAAATTGCTTGTCAATTTAAGGGGACTACATACGGTAAATAAAATTCACACATTACATTAGCAACCAAAATCCTGTTCTTAACCGTCATTTGGCCGATTACATATCATATTTATATGTGTTTGAATATCGACGGTCCAATATAAATCGTAATTTTATAATATAAAATATTTATTAATAATATATACAGGGTGTTTGATAATTAGTGAAACATATTCTGTACAGGGGGTAGAATGGACTAAACTGAGAAGAAAAGTCCTATACCATTTTACAACTGTCACAGTAGTTAACGAGATATTAATTTATAAAAATATTTAAATTCGCCCGGCCCGCCGTCAAATGCAAGCGCGCGGCTGAATAGGACCGCCCTGCAAAGCACGCCGCGCACGTTTGCCGTCGCTACGCGATTCATGTCTAGCGAGGACTATTGCCGCTTGTTATAAACAACGCTTGTTATAAATAACGCCTAGCAACTAGGGATGGGCGATACAATATCGATATCTTAAAATATCGATACTATTGAGTTTGACTTTCGATATTTTGTATCGATTTTTTATCTTTCGATATTAACATGTATCGACAGTTTAATAGGCATATCGAACTTTCGATACAGTCATGAATTCTGCTCATTAGACACGGTACGCTTGCCGCGCTGCGTAAGTTGGCGCCACGGAGTAAAAGGAAGACCAAATATTTCGTACGCATTATCATGTGGTATATACTTCCAACTTTTCACGTCTATTAAGCTGACACAGCCACTTCAGCACAATCGAATAAAACTTATATAGAAATTTAGTGCTTTTTTGTTGCTAATTTGTTGCTTTATTCCCGATTTTGTTGCTCCAGCCAATTCCGAGAAAACAATGGCTGTGCTAGCTTAAGAATAAAGTTAGCACAGCCACTCAAAAAAATAAAAAAAATAAAAAAACAAGGCATATTCTTTTTGTGCTAATTTGTTGCTAATTAGTTGCTCACTTCCCGAATTCGTTGCTTCATCCCCAACCCTCGAAAACCACCCTTAGCGACTCCGCGTCAGCACACCACCTGTAAACTGTCAATTCTCCAAATATCTCGACTGATTACGGCTCTCTGATTTTGTTGCTCGCGATTTCCGACGATTACGATTTTGTCGCTCCACCCCCGAACCTTGAAAAACCACCCCTAGCCACCCAGAGTCAGCACACCACAAGTAAACTGTCAATTCTCCAAATATCTCGACTGATTACGGCTCTCTGGTTTTGTTGCTCGCGATTTCCGTCGATTACGATTTTGTTGCTACACCCTCGAACCTTGAAAAACCACCCCTAGCCACCCATAGTCAGCACACCACCTATAAACTGTTAATTTTCGAAATATCTCGACTGATTATGGTTCTCTGATTTTGTTGCTCGCGATTTCCGACGATTACGATTTTGTTGCTCCACCCCCGAACCTTGAAAAACCACCCCTATCTACCCAGAGTCAGCACACCACCTATAAGCTGCCAATTCTCGGAATATCTCGACAGATTATGGCTCTCTGATTTTGTTGCTCGCGATTTCCGTCGATTACGATTTTGTTGCTCCACCCCCGAACATTGAAAAACCACCCCTAGCCACCCAGAGTCAGCACACCAACTATAAACTGTCAATTCTCGAAATATCTCGACTGATTGCGGCTCTCTGATTTTGTTGCTCACGATTTCCGGCGATTACGATTTTGTTGCTCCACCCTCGAACCTTGAAAAACCACCCCTAGCCACCCATAGTCAGCACACCACCTATAAACTGTTAATTTTCGAAATATCTCGACTGATTATGGTTCTCTGATTTTGTTGCTCGCGATTTCCGACGATTACGATTTTGTTGCTCCACCCCCGAACCTTGAAAAACCACCCCTATCTACCTAGAGTCAGCACACCACCTATAAGCTGTCAATTCTAGAAATATCTTTACGGATTACGGTTCTCTGATTACGGTTCTCGAGGTCAAGGTCATTGGGGGCGGTCTCATAATCGGTACTTTTACCTATTATGTCCACACACACACCCGCGCACGCGCCCGCCCTCACAGCAGACAGACGGATAACACACATACACACACTGACAGATAGACAAATATATATACATTATAAATTAATAGAAGATGTATGAATTTCATTTAAAATTGATTGATTACATCTCAATAATATTATTATTGCACTCGAGATCATTTTACGATCGAGTTATTTCGAGAATTGACAGTTTATAGGTGATGTGCTGACTCTGGGTAGATAGGGGTGGTTTTTCAAGGTTCGAGGGTGGAGCAACAAAATCGTAATCGACGGAAATCGCGAGCAACAAAATCAGAGAGCCGTAATCAGTCGAGATATTTGGAGAATTGACAGTTTATAGGTGGTGTGCTGACTCTGGGTGGCTAGGGGTGGGTTTTCAAGGTACGGAGGTGGAGCGACAAAATTGTAATCGTCGGAAATCGCGAGCAACAAAATCAGAGAGCCGTAATCAGTCGAGATATTTGGAGAATTGACAGTTTACAGATGGTGTGCTGACGCGGAGTCGCTAAGGGGGGTTTTCGAGGGTTGGGGATGGAGCAACGAATTCGGGAAGTGAGCAACTAATTAGCAACAAATTAGCACAAAAAGAATATGCCTTGTATTTTATTTTTTTTATTTTTTTGAGTGGCTGTGCTAACCTTATTCTTGAGCTAGCACAGCCATTGTTTTCTCGGAATTGGCTGGAGCAACAAAATCTGGAATAGAGCAACAAATTAGCAACAAAAAAGCACTAAATTTCTGTATAAGTTTTATTCGATTGTGCTGAAGTGGCTGTGTCAGCTTAATAGACGGAAACTTTTCCCGCAATGACATTAAAATCGCCCCGATTTTCTATTTCGAGTCCATACTTCATCCTCAAGTTTGATCTGTTTACTCCGTGATTGGTGCGATAGCCGACCAAATTATTCGTGGAAAGAATCTGTCTTTTTAAAATATTCATCGTCAGTTGTACTAATAATAT